CATTTACGTTGAGTTGCAATAAATGCAAAACTCTCTGCAGGTTCTTGTCTTTGTCGTCCGCTCTATTCAGCTGGCTTTTGAAACACATGCTGAGAAGGTGGGGGCTGGGTGGTGAGGGTTACGGGGGCGAGAAACGCAGAAATAACGCAATAGTTACTTTTACTAGTAACTAGCTACTTTTATTGTGGAGTAACTCAGTTAGTAACTCAGTTTCTTTTTGGGAGAAGTAACCAGTAACTATAACTAACTACTTTTTCAAAGTAACGTGCCCAACACTGGAAACTTACACACCATCCATGCCCTGACCTTTATGCATCTTGCCTCTTTACCGCAGGATTCAAATAGTTCTCCTTTATCAGTCCGGCTCTAAGATGTGCCCATATCCTGTGTATTTTTAAAGACACGAAGGCTGTCCTGATTAGATGGCCTCTGTACACCCAGCGACATCCACCATTTGAAGGAAGGCCTTCTACTCTGTCTAATCTGGCTAACAAACTAACAATGCACATGATGTATAAAGAATAAACCTAACAACGCTGATCCCAACATCACTCAAAATACAGCATCATTTTCACCAGATGCAAAAAAATGCATACGTGTGTTTCTGGATCTTCTTATCCGCATTAAATGACAACAAAAGGCTGCAGGGATCACAGAAAAAGTGAAACCTTTGATCCTTTCCGAAGTTTCGCTTTTAAAAAACTCATCACTTCAACAAAGAAATCAGATTGCGTAATTATTAAGAATGATGTTTGGAACTCATCCTCGTGTCTTATTAGGTTTCAGAAAGAGACACGCTGCAGCTTCCCTTCCAGGTTCTACGATCTTTTCCAAAGCCAGCTGCGTCAAAAGCATAACTGGAGTTCAGCAGTTGGTATTTTTTTTCTTGCAATTAGTTTCAGAAACATCAAACTGTGCTGTGTTTTATGCAGACATTCAAAGTAATGTGAGGTGCTTTGTCTAAAATTAATTAAACTAGAACTTTTGAATTTATGCAAAACAGTGTCAGTGAATCAGACTCGGACTGGGAACGATTTTTTTCCATCTACACCGGCCCACTTATGCCACACAATACGAGTACACATTTTGGATTACCCAATCTATATTCAAGCATCACACGACAACCATCACCGAGACTTCTATGATGTGGTTTTACTGGCTTTGGTTACGCGTCAGTGACTGCTGCTGCGTAACGTCCACACTCACCACATCTGCATCAGCTGCCAGATGTCACTTACTTACCTTTTTCCAGACTAAAACATTTTCATAAACCGCCAAAGTCTATTGATCTCTTAAGCCATAAATCTCAAGAAAACATTTTTTTACCCAAAGACGGCCATCCTAAACTGCCAAACTGGGAAACATCCAAACCTGACGTCAATGCACGTAAGACGGGAAACGGTAGCCTCTAGATGCAAAACCTCATCATGCACCGCCACATATTTCTGCAAAATATAAATTCGCCACATATAAGAGAAACATCTTATTTTGGTTTAAAGAAAGCATTTTAGTTGTATTATAATTTAGTTTGTTGCAAGGATTTTACAATTTAAAGAAATAAAAAATGACACCATATGCCAACCGTCACAAGGATGAGCATGACAAGGAAGGACTATATATACTGCATGCATCATTTAGGCAGTTAACATTGGATTGCTTCTTGATCTCTTTAAGTTATTTAATGTCACAGGTAGGAGCTTCGTCCAGAGAGTAATTTTTGGGGCCGGTATGATTTTTTGAGGGCCCTCGCACGCTGAAATTAGGACCGGCATCACAGATGACCAGTCCGAGCCTGCAGTGAAGGAATATGTTAAAGAGGACAGAACTTATATCCAAACAAATATAACTCGAGGAAGGAGGGGTCAAAAAGAAACTCTTTGGTTTTAACCTGAATGTGTTCTGTTTGTGTTCCAGCTGGAAAATGCTACGTCTGTATCTTTCTCTGCTTATTTGGTCATTGTCTGAGGTTTCTCCAGGTAAGCAAGATTTTTAAGTTCCCTTTGTTTAGTTTTGTTGCTGCATAAAGTATAGGAAATATAAGACTTTTTATTTCTTGTGTATTCACAGTTTATTCAGAGGTGGTAGCCCCTACTTCTCTGTGCCAACCATCATGGCTTCTTTTTGGAGAGAGGTGTTATGCTTTCTTCCCCGTGTGGAGCTCCTGGAGCACTGCTAGAGTAAATAAGAATTAAAGTGTTTTTCACCGATGTCGCACGTTGTCCCTCGTGGTATAATCAGAATATTCTCGCCTTAGACTTTGTGCTCTCAGACTGGTGGGACCCTCATGCTGCTCAACACACCAGAGGAAAAGAAAATTATCAATCAGCTGACAAACACCAGCACACCTGTGTGGCTGGGTGGATACAAGGTGAGTAGGTGGGTCTTAAGCATGTGTCATGGCCTTTTTTAAAAATATATATTTACATCTTCATCTTTTTTGTCTTCTCTCTGTAAGAATGACTCTCAGCTCTGGAGCAACGACGACAACTGGACCGACCAGGCTGACGGAAAGACCAACGGGTGCAGGGCCTGTATGCAAATGACACCAAAAAGTAAAGTTATTCATTCAGGAAGCAGCCAGTGTTCTGTTATCTTGCCTATTAACATTAAGCAGTTAAATGCTTTAAAGGCCAAGGTTGACCTTTTGAAGGTTTTTATTATGTTTTACACTGGAAAAATGTTCTAGAAATAAGTAAAAATG